TTGGGAGCAGAAAATGTTCACTCAAACCCAAGTTGGTGGGGTGGGGGGCTATCTCTGCTGTTGTTGGACGAGTCATCGTCGCTGGTGATGGACTGTCGGTCGTGCGACCGTCGCGATCTCGTCGATGTCCTGGTCATGTTCTCCTGGGAGGAGTATTTCCGAATCCTGTCCATCCGCTTCTGTCGCAGCGCGTCGTACCTGCGCCGGATGGTGTCGTACCGGTCCCACTGGCCGTTGCCCTGCTTGGTTCTGGGTTCGATGTCCATGTTGAGTCGCTCCATGCTCTGGTAGAGCGACGGTGAGATGGGCTTGGATTTGGACCCGATCATGGTGCCGTCTGACGGTGTCGGGCCGCCGCTTATCCTCCGGTTCCTTGTGAGGGTGCTGGACCTGGCGACGCCCCCCGTGGCGTGCTCGTGCTCCCGGCTCAGGCTTTCCATTTGGAAGTTGATCACGGCGCTCTCTTGCGAGAGCTCGTGGCGTCTGCTCTCGAAATCTCGGTAGCTGTCCGCCGACATCTTCCTGCACAGGGGCTCCTTGGGGTTGCTGAGATGACCATTCTGGAGGCTTGGGTTCTGATGGTCGTTGCCATTTGTAAGCAAGCCGTTGTTTTCCAGGTTGACTCGGTTGAGAGACTCTGCTCGTCTCGGTAAGGACCCGGTGTGGCTGACCATCCCGTTGGCATCACTTAGACCGAGTGAGTTAGTACGGACCAGGCTGGCCAAGCGTCTCTGCTGGGGTGGAGCCTGCAGGCCCGTCATGTGCATCACGCTTTGAGATTCCAGTTCCTCGACGCGCAGTTCCAACTTCTGCTTCTCCAAATCGAGTCTCTGCATCTGAAGCTGCTCTCTCTTCAACTCCAGCACCTTGAGAGACAGCGCCGTGTTCTCCTCCTCCAGGATGCGCAGGCTGTCCTGCAGCCTGATGCCGTCTTTCAAGAGCTGCTCAAACGTCTGCGAGATGAGTGAGAGCACACCGTCCATGGTACACATCCCGTTGGAATCCGGCGGGCCAAGGCATTTGTCCAGGTCTCCCGCCATTTTGTAGGTCCCGGGGAACCCCGCGGCATCCCCGATCCCCTCCACGCACGGTGTGGTGCCGTCGAAGGGGTAGACCCGCCTCCCGTTGGCGTAGACTCTCCCCCCGCAGTCCAACAGAACCACCAGCTCGTCTCGCCCGCCGTTCGCACCTTCCACACGGTACAGCTTCAGACTGCAGGTCTCCATGCTCTTGCTGTACACGACCTCGGACGGCTGGCCGTTGAACGTGGGCGGAAACCGCTCGTTCGTATGTCCATTCCGTTTGAGTTTACCGTGATGACCACCCATTTTCTCCGCTGTGCCCTACCTGTGCGAGGACTGGCGAACCCGACGCAGATCTCGGCCACACCTGACGACGACGAGACACGTTAATAATATTATTCAGTAGATTAAATCGAGTTGTGTGAGGTCGTGCGTGATCCAGCTGCGTGTTAATGTATGCCCGGTGTTCACTAGCTCTAGACTGCCGTACTTCTAGCAACACACGTGTACAGAATCAACAGCTATGCGAGTATCAGTTCAGTTCCTTATGGCACACTCCTAATGAGTCCTATAGTGTAGGTCACAACGTAAAAGACTCCAGCTTCTCAACCTCAATAACATAAAATTGTAAGATCACTTTTCATTCTCTCATTATCTCCAAGCGACATGCCGGTACATTCTAAACAGAGGATCTTACAGATTGACACAGCAATATTCAACACTCGGCTAGTTTCCTCCTTACGACTAGGCGCGCATTATGTATGACCAGCTGTGAATTGACTATGTGCCAAAGTTGGCGAAGGGGGAATTATCATAATGCGAGTGCGGCTGCACGTACTCAGTGCACAGGAAGTTCGGTATGGTCCATCAGTGCGCGCGCATGTCAGGATGTGGTTTTTAACGTCAAGCCGGACGAGGTTAAGTACCCACACGTCTAAAGTGTGCCTTTTAAAGAAGTTTAATTTGCAGATATACCATATTCTGAGGCTACACACAAAATGCTGTTCATGTAAATAATTATTTAAAGAGGAGGTTGGATTAGAGTCTGTGTTCAGGATAACTGCATGATAACTGCAGGATTCCTGCAGCTAACATTCACGTCTGCACCACATTTTCACTGCAGATCATTGATTAAACTCATGCATTAAGCCACGATTTATGGCAAAGTAATTTGGATAGATACCCGTGTTCCTTCCCGGGTCATGATTAATGCAGAGAATCCATCTTACGTATACTTCCACGTTGAATCACCTAAGAGTTTCCTGTGATGTCAAAGACGATTCCGATGCGTAATTGTGAGCTATGTCATTATTTTTGTCAACTAAGTGAAGCACACCGCACGCCCATGGAAAAAGTAGTAGACAACTTCTCGGACAGCAAGTTCGTGCTTTTTCATCAGCTTCAATCAGTATGGTGTAAAATTTAATATAAAGTCATATCATTCAAGTAAGGTTGGTACATGGGGGGGGGGGGGAGGAGTTGAAGCCGCGCCCCTTAAAATAATATAAAACTCACCAAGCTCCTAATTCTCTGTTCCCAGTAGCGTATCCGGGTGGGTCAAGAGGGAGTAAAACAGGAAAGGTTTCTGAAAAAAATGACCTAATTTTTTTTTTTCGTTCGTAAACATGGTTACAATTGGGGTATTTTAATTTAAAGTGTGGTTTTGGCGTATTCATATCCTTTAAAAGGACAAAATGTCTCCAAGGGACAAGTTTCCCTTCCCTTGCCCCCCTTCCCCCCCCCCCCCCCCCCCCCACGCCACTGTCTGGTCCATCGTGTTTTCGTAAAACTGGGTGCCCTCAGTTCAAAATGCGACCTCTTTAAATTGTTTTAAAGTGATATCTCTACGTGAATCAGCAGGCGGCCAAAAAAGTACCGTACACATTTTTTTTTCATTATTCCATCATTCAGCCATGGGGAAAACATTGGGTCACAATGGTCTGCTGTTTTGTTTTGCACGTATCGAGTTTTTTTTTTACAAGAGTAGTCGCTTGTTACACTTTAGGTCCTTTGAACTTTTGGAGAGCACAGAAGGATATGGAACATTTCCGACGGAAATAGAATTATCCCTCAACAAAGAAACAATGAGAGAGTGCAGACCGTTCATTGTTGATATTTAATGGTTCTGTGGAGCGTTTGTATACATGTATAGTACATAGCTCCTTACGTCACGAAAGGGGGTGCCCCCCTGCCCCCCCCCCCCGGTTCCGCCGGCCTTGGATGTCACCACTTTTACACCAACCATTTTCAAGAGATATGCGCATATAACAGTTTACTGAAAGTTACAATCACATTACCACAAAAACCAATTTGACCATATAAAACTACTAAGGCCTATTTCAAGTAATGGACTTAAAACTGACTACTATAGCTTACATCTTGCATGGAAGGGATTCGGGTGTAGAAATGTGTGTGCATTTTAAGAGGACCTTACGTTTGATCAACAACTTAATTGTTAACAAGAAATTTACAAAAACATGCCTAACTTTAGATTGGTAAAATAAATCAGAGGTAGGCCCTATATTGTTTTAAAGGGAATATACAACATTTGCAAACATCGAAAAATAAAAGTACCAAGTTTTTGCGAAATACCTTAATAGGATGTTGGTAAATGACAGTCTAAAGCATCCTGTAAAATTATGGCACCTGGTATACTGTCATTTTCAAGAAAAGTGGTATTTTTGTATCAATTTCCAACGCTGATCGGCCGATCAGCGTTGGAAACAACTGGCTTTTTTTTCAAATACTGGACCCAATTGACCATTGCACTTGTTTGCAATCGATTACAAACCTATGAACGGGTACGAGCCAGCTAGACTGGTTCCCTGACCTTACAATTCCCCAATGTATGTAAACTGCTCTGTTTCTTCTTATATAGAGTCAGGGAACCAGACTACAGGAAAATGATCGTTTTTCTTGGTTTTTATAGCATTTTCGAACCCAAAACCTCCAAAAAGTCAGTGTAACTATATTTGCTATATATTTCTAACCCCCCAATTCCATCCATTTCTGAAAATTACAGCAAAAGCAAATGATGTATATTCCCTTTAAAGGTTGAGTTTAATGTTTTTCATTAATAATGGCCAAGACATATATAGAAATGTATGGGGGCTGTTAATTAAATTTGCCAAAGCATCTGAGAAATTGGCTTTTGATAATTTGTCGTTTAGATTCTTTTTCAGCATGGAAAAGTTTACTACTCGGCCGTGCTTACGTTTAGCATAGTTATCGTAAGAGGGCGCCGTGTCGCATTTACATGGAGTTGAGGAAATAAACCAGTGTTTGATAGTACTGAATGTTAGCCACATTCTGAGTACTGCATAGCGATCGTAATGATCTGAAGTTAAATTAAATAATAGGGCAGATCTTTTTTTTAATGGATTGACAAATCATGTACTGGTGCACATCAAATATTCTTACGAGTCCCATGTTTCCGTCAACCATGTCTAGCAACAGATTTACTGCAAATTCTTAGATGGTTTCACCTTGCCAACAACTACAGACCTCAAGAAGACGGTTCTCATCGTGACAAACATTTCAGTCGAGACAACATCGACGGTTTGAGCCAGCATGATTTGCAAAATATTTTTATAATATGAGTATCATAAATAACAACATTACACCTGCATAACCTAGCTCAGGGATTTTGGCCACTCACGCGGAGTAGGCCTAGTCAAACTGGCGTTCGAACCTTGATTTTGTGAATCTTAATTAAGACTTTGGAGTTGGGCAAAACCATTGGACACAAAGTCACCAGGGCCGGGCTTGACCTTGGAGCTTTCAATCACTTGTGTTGAACTCCCTTCCCGTTCCCCTCCCCACCCTACCCACCCCCATTTATACGAAATCAATAAACTCTAATATACATCAACTTTTTTGAGAGAGGGCGATATTTCTGAATGGGCAAACTCTCCTCGTACTTACCCATGTTACCCACTAAAATAGCGCCCTCCATATCTCAAAAGGGCTAATGCAAATTAACTTCAGCAATCGTCGCGACTGTAGGCAGCACCAGGAAGAGTCGGCAAAGAATGGGTTTTATTTCGGCAGTCGTGTGTTATCATCGTCAACAAGAAGAATCGGGTGCTTAAAAGTGCTCCCGACCATGTAAATAGGGATAGCGTCACTAGTCGCCAACGGCAACGGTGGAATTCAACTCGAGAGACAACTATTACAAGGTAGACTTTATTCATCCGTATCATGCTTTGCATATCGGCATCACTGTCTGCTCATAAGGGGACGCGAGTCTGTAGTCAGCCAAAGCGACTGGAAAGGAGAGTGGGATGAGTGGCGCTATCTTCTATTGCCATCTCTGTATTAGTTTTGTAAGCGCGATTGCACTTGTCATGTCTATAGTGTGTAGTATTGACACATGCATCGTACGTGACGGGTTGTAAGGTTGCCATACCTGTCGTTCATTGCAAACTCTTTAACTACCATCCAATTGCGGCATTCGTGAACAGTTTTGAGAAGCGGAGCCCATTTCTCCCTCCACAAAGACAGACCGTAGACGCAATTTTCACCGTCTTCACATCTACATAGTAATGGGTTTTCGCAGAATGACTTTCAGCATTGTTGCCAAAGCGAAACTCTAGCCCGTACTTTCGATACTTTGCCACAGTGTGCGCGTGTTGGTGAATGCTGCCGCGCCGGATTATCGCGGAGTTTTAATGGTGTTTGTGTGCAATAAAACGGATCAGACGGATTCAGACAAGCTGTATTTTCATCTCAGTAGTAGCACCCATTTGTGATTCGAGAGCAGCAGTAAAAAGACGTCCTTGATTGGAACTGAAAGACGTCAGAGAAAAGCAATCACTGCCCAGCGGAGGTTGGCAGATGCCCACATCGAGCCCATATCTGAACCTGTAAGTATGATTTTCTCTATGGACTTTCTTCACTTTAAAAACGTTCCTTGACGAAACAAAACCATTTTAAACATTTTACACGGCTGTAAATAACACTTCAACCAATTTTTTTTGGGTACTTTTTGTATCTTGAGCTTTTTTTTCTAAGTTGGCGTCTGGCTTGCAGCTCTTATTGTTTTTTTTTCAACTACTGATGTTAGCATTTCTTTTTACTTGCAATACAAGTGTATAAAAAGGTGGTATTTAGCTAGACCGCCAACTCTTGTGTCAGTTTTTATCAAGTTTTTTGGGGGTTTTCCCTCAAATTGACAACCGAAACTTATAATACAATCGGACAAGATAAGATGAAATCTCGCAATTTTGCTTGACACCGCCAGCAGTCCAAAACACACAGAGAATTCAAGCAACACATTTCCACGTTATTCAAGCTAAAAAAAATAAATAAATAACAAAAACTGTTGCCTTTTAAAAAATCAATTAATCACGGATGAACTGATTCTTGTGGCGAACTCACCGTTAGTTGGTACAGTATGTGTAATTAACACATACTGTACCAACTAACGGTGAGGGCAGCACACTTGAGAGTCAACTTTGCCCCTCTCCACGGCTCCGCGATCTACTTACCTACCCGCACTCTAGATTGATTTAACACCGATAAATGTCGGTTCTGGACGGCACGACCTAGGCTTCTATTCACGGTGATCGTAGGGTCCACGGACATAAATCCAGGAAGGTTATAAGATATCAGTAGCTGCCGACTTGAGGGGACAAATTAATCGGTTTTTAATTGGTTCCCTGGCGTCGTACGACAACAAACTGTCTCCAACCTGCGTCACGAGGAGATGATAACAGGACGATACGTGTTGTGTTTTTTAATAACATTCTCATTGGAAGATGTAATTTGTTGGTGTCATTCGAGAACTTCATTTATTAAAAAACAATAAAGAGACATATGCTGTAGATGAGGTTGTTGCTCTGATAACAGAGATAGTCACGAAGCATTGTAGACTAATTCATAATCTACAGATTGGGCTCATTAAAAGCTGTTGTACAAGTGATTGCTATTTTGGGCGGTAGATAATTGTGTACGGTACCATAAGGGCACCAATCGTTTGCAATCAGGTGACTTGATCCGACTTGCATGGTAGAGGATTTGGGGGAGTTTAATTTCTTTCTTTTTTACATCTTCTTTGGACGCCATGTCAAAGCGTCCGTTATCAAGCGCAACTTTATGTAGACAAAATACATATTTCTGCATTGTGTCCACAGGAGGCGGCGTACAACAGTCTATCACGGTTTTGGCAAGCATCAACTTTATCATTTTTACTAAAAAGAACTTGCCGTCTGATGTGTGTGTGATGTGAGACTAATGTATAGTAAGCTGACCAAGTGTTAATCCAAACAGTATACAAGAGAATCATCCTCCGTAAAGGCATAATAGGCATTAACATTTGTTCGAGTTTCCAATAATAACACCACACAAAATCCAAAGAAGAATGTTCAAAACTTAACCTATTGAAGTTTCATCTCAGTGGATATTAAAGTTTTCGAGAAAACAGTAGAAAAACACACAACGTCTTTTGATCACGACACATGATTTCGTCCGTAGCACCTTTTACTCCAAATTCAGTCAATTGTCTGATCGTTGGAAATCACCTACATTTCTTGATTTCTTCTAAATGACAGCAAGCAAGATGGGTTGTTTAGTAGTAAACGAACTTTAATCCAAGTAAGCTTTTTGATGATAATTCGGTAGTACCTGTGTATGCCACAGGGAGACGAAAGGCTCTTTGGATAATTCGGTAGGTTACTTTTGGATCAATCCAAATGATGTCATTGAAACTGTTGTTGGAAGTAGATATAAATGTACACTACTTTACTGAGGCTAACAGCTTCGCCCCTTAACCCACCCCTTGGATATACACCTGTCTCAATCTAAAGCCGTTATATTCAGGTCGCTAGGTGACGCCCACTATGACGGGGTATGTCCAAACACTCCTAGACAAACATGAAACCCTGGAGACTGATCTTTAATAATCCAGATAAGACCCACCATCGGAAAACCGACATGGGTTTCCACACCTGTGGGCCTGGCGAACCCCAAAGCGATCATCATAATCCACTTAGGCAGATAAATGCAGAGTTTTGTACGATAATTGTGTTTGCACGATCGGTGGCAATTTGAGGTCATCGACTCAAAAAATAGTCTATCTCGGAGATAACCCACGTTGCAAGCCCGTATACGTTATTAGTGCTTCATTAATTAGGCTATCTAGGCTTAATTAATTGTGTTCTATCGAACCATGATCGAACTTACTAGAAGCACTCCATTTTCACAAGTAAACTTCGGCCCAAAAAGGACAACATTGATCGGTACTCGTGTCATTTTTTCAATTTGCACTTGCCATGTATCAAGATTTAATGCAAATTCGCATGTGATTTGCTATGTTAGGGCACGGAGGAATGAAAATACATCCGCCATGTTTAAGGGCAGTGTTTGGAATTGCGGTAATGCCAACTTTTATATTCTTTAGCACGGAATAACATACAATAACCATGGAAAGCCGATAGGCCTATATACTCCACCGTTTTACGCATTAAGGCGATATCTGATATTTATTTTGTAACAGCCTTTTTATTATGTCTTGAGCACACACAGCAAAAGTTGATTAATATCAATAATGGTTGCCCGTCTCCTGTCTCATACATGCACTTGCTTGACTTTCCATCACTGCCAGGAATATTTTTCCGAAGTTGACTGTTGAGTAGTTAATAACTTAAGAACGAAGTTCATATCGTAATGATCTTTCTAGCCAGTTCCTTTGGCCCACAGTTAACTCAAAATTTGATTTTCGCTCTTTGCACGCTTCCGCCATAAGCATGCAGAGCCTCGATCTAGCAACTTTGCACAATAAATATATCCGGTTCAGTGATTCCCGTGTATACACGAATCGCTGAACCCCGACACGGAAATCACTAAACCGGCTATTTTTATTGTGTAAAGTTGCCAGATCGAGGCTCTGCATGCTTATGGCGGAGCGTTCAAAGAGCGATAGCCATGGTATACATGTGGGGGTACTGTGCACACCGGTAAATAGGCCTAAACACATCCGCCGAGCTCATGAATAAAAGATATATCATCAAAATATTCTATATTAGAGAGTTATGAGAGTCATAAAATTGGGGAATTGAAGAGATATGGCAATGAACCTCTTTCCCGGACTTGGGGCTTCCAATTCTGAGCATTTTGGATGCAATTGGGCTCGAAAGTGGCACTATTTTGCCATGTTGTGGAGGGATCGTTTTTGGCTACTTTTCCGCTTCGGAAAAAAATAGGGGTTGTCTGCTTTGGGTGAGAATTTCTCGAAAAGTCAATAGTCAACCCGCAAAAAAATGAAAAGAAAATGAAAGATGACATGTTGATCATCATCTTTCTGTGCAGCTTATACCTGTGAGAAGTATGGGCATTTAGCACTAGTGTCTAAGGGAATTTTAATGTTTGGTTGCACCCGTACCGTGAACAACAGAACATCTCGAGATTCCACAAACTGTATTAAGCATCAGTGCACCAACGTGTCCGCAAAACCCCCATCTTGCAGCACTTATGCTTAGGCCTACCCATAATATCCACCGTACGATCCGGCCGTTGGCGGCAGGTGATACCGCTACCGGTGTCCCAACAACATCCGTCGCCCAGCCGTCTGCATTGACACCAGTCCGTCACCTATTTCCCCCGACAATTCGCTTTACTTGTCAGCAATTGTTGCCGCAAATGGACGGCTGTCAAGACTGATCACAAAAACTAACGCACTTTATAAGATATCTTCAAGCCGTCCTTTCCAATTTATAAGGCAATGATGGCAATCATGTTCAATGCCGTTTACATTTCAACTCTTTGCTGCATTTAGTTGTGCAGGTGATTTTAATGATATATTTCAAGAATCTATTCGAAAAAGAATAAGGGATCTTCACTATATGTTACATTTGTTTACAAATTGGATGTTATTGTCAGTTACTCACAAGACGCCAACTTTCAGAAAACTGTTTTCATCTGCACTATATGTGTATCTCTTGATTTTTGAAATGTGATTGGTGTAAAAGTGGTGACATTAACTGTGGGCAAAATAGCAGACAAAAGATTTTTTTTTGGGGGGGGTGCCAATCGGTTGCCCGTCGGCCTTGCCCGCCAGTATATGACGTCACAGGACACATGGTCTGTAGTTCACTAAAATTACTCCTTTTCAAAAATAGTATACTCTTTAAATTAATAATATCAACATGTGGTTTTATTCAGATAGTTCAGTTCGAAACTCAGACTTCTTCAAACTCCAAATGCCTACTCAATGCAATGCAATATTTACATAATTCAACCATGTTCTCACAACGGAAGTAACATGTTGATCCTTATTTACTCAAATGGGTGTCTTGCGGCGGATGCGGCCTTCACCCACTCATGACGAGCCGTGAAACAAACAGAAAACAATCCTTCACTTTTTGACTTTCACCTGTCCTTGTAATTCAATCTTAATGAGGCGGCGCCCAAGGGGACAGTTTTAAAAACAAACTATGATTAAAAAACGGTAGCATATTGACGCTACCCCACATTTGCAGCAATCGTCCTGACCGCTAGGCTGGCGTTCACCAAAATTCTGATCATCGTCATTTTCATGTATCGTAGCCTACTGATATATTCGCCTACATATTAGCGAACACTAATAAGGTAGGCCTGCTTGTGTTTGTTTTTTCACGGCAAATTCGATTTCAATGTACCATTTGTGAAGTGAAACAATGCATACCATTGACCTTCGGTGCTCAGTCTCTTGCATATAACAGTCTGTGAAAAAATACACACTACTGCCGGTTTTTTTCGCGTCTGCAATTTAAGGAGTAATTTTGTGTGTACGTATCCAGACTGATGGCAAATTTGCTCCGCCACATAATTACCGTATTGTGTAGCCTCACTCTACCGCGGAATCGTGACTTCCATTTCCATGCTGCGATATCCATGTTCATGTTAATTGGAGCACGTGGTGTGTGTTTTGTCTACAACCTTCGAAACGTCAGGTTCACGCGAGTGCACACTCGGAAACTTCGCGTCAAACATTTCGGCCAAGTTGATCAGAAGCTCATCTCGCAAATTTCCTTTAAAACAAATTGCAGACATTATATGTATATGTCTTTGTTTTACTTCGCTCACCAAAGATCTTCTAACTTGTAGTCACTCCATCGCCATTACGCGTATTTTGGAATTGCATTATAGTTGGTGATGGCAATTAAGCGATTGAGAAGCGAATATTATCTTCGTTTTTTGATGAGAATTTTCACGTGGCTTCTCAGGCATATCAGGGCTTTTATGAGTTGATGAAGTTCGCTGTACTCGGCCCACGCACCTTGCAAAGTGCGTTGGCTTTGAATGCCTCAGCTCACAGATGGCAACTTCAGTCTTTTTGCCGATCTGCGTGCACGGACAGCTCTTTGAGTTCTGGCATTAGGAAAAGTACGGTAAGTTTGAAACAGGTGACTTGCTTGGCCAGTTTCTCGCGTAGTGAGAAACCGAGGTGGTTTTCCGATTTCAGGGGCACAAGATTTTTTTCTAGATAAAGGTTTCTTCTTTCGCTTGATGGCCATGTAGGAGACTTTCGTAGTTGTCGATAAAAAAACCCCCGGATTCATCATATTATTTTGTCGATTTGTCCGTAACAAAAAAATGTCATCAAAATTCATCGGAATCCATCTTTTGCTAAAAAATATATCACAATATACTTGGATGTATTGGATCTTCAACTACGTAAAATAAGTTTTGTTGAATCGATTTGGTGGTTTTTTTTTCACGAAAAACGGGAATTTTCCGAAGCCTTATTTACGGCCATCGTTCGTGAGCCATGCGTTGTAGCCATCTTGTGTGGACGAGAAATGCGAGCCTAGGGCGGATCCGGGGGGGGGGGGCAATGGGGGTCATGCCCCTCCCCCAACCGGAACCCAATTTTTTTTGGGTAAGCCACATTAGCCCCAAACGTTTGACAGACGTCTACATCGGAAATGACAAAATAACCCGTCAACAATTGAAACAAATTCAGCGACCCGATCTTAAAAATACAATGAATGGTTCTTAGGAGTTTTAAACTCGAGCGTAACTGTAACTAGTGAAATAGCCTAGTGGTTAAATTTCTGACCCACAGGTGGATGAGTCGGCGGTTCGATTCCCGCATGTTTTATTTTAGTTTTCATCACGCGCTGTCCGACACTTTCTATAAAGGATTTAATTTACCGCAGTCCTAAAATACCAACAGCACCTTAGCGTAATCGGTAAGCACTGCTGCTGGTACTGTCCGCGAAGTCCAGGTTGTGCATCTTCGTATAGGTTCAAGGCATTTACTGATCCACTCGGGGACAGTGCTTAGGGTGCCACCTTGTTCCTCCCTTGTACATGCTGCCCATCCCTCGGGTTATATGGATGGACAGGGAAGGAAGTGTGTGGGCCGGGACTGCCGAGATCCCAGAAGAGTCATATAAGGGATCGGCATGGGCTCATTGCGATGCTTGGTCAGCACATAACATTTTTTTTATTTGCCACAGTTTTATTTTCAAACACTTGCAAGTATTAATTCACGGCATAAATGTTCATCAACTGACTCTGTACAGCATGTAGGCAAAGATGTATAGGCCCTACGAATAAAATTAACGTGTAACGTCTGTCGTTCTGAAGCACTTGTCGATCGGTGGGAGACGGGGTCACATGTTCCCTCGAGTATTTTCGAATAAAAAAGGTAGCCTGCATGTGATTCTAAAGCTCAGAATATCTGATACAATGACTCCAAACTCGAAAATGATGTTGAAAATGATGATCTTTCGCTAAAAACAAAATTGCTCAAAGCTCTGAATGTAATGTTTATGTTGCTGGTCCCAGAGTGCCATCCGTAACATATAGGCCTAGTTCTTTTCTACTGACTCATTGACTGACTCACCCATTAGCCCAAAACGTTTGACTCAGGTCTACCCATAGAGAAAGTATGGTCTACCTAGACCCCCCTCAGACTAACGTTGTCCGGGACATGATTGCTGTGCAAATCCTGTAAATTGGACGATAGTCATCATAGGGGCTCACTATGAGCTCTGGTCAATTGATACGCGGATGATGGTTGAACCAAAACAGAGTACCTTCGCCAAATCCTCAATCTAATTCATAATCCACGGAGGTTTCTTTGTTGCTTTAACGAGTCCTTGTGATAGGTAGAGCTTCACGGCAGGGAGTCTGGCTATAACCTGAATGCACTCATTTACGACAGTGTGATGAGAGGCTCAGCGAAGAATAGCGTGTTGGTAATGATACACAAAATAGGCCTTTAGGCCCTAAGCTCTTAATTGCGAACGGTGAAAATTGTATAGGCCTAATCGTCGTTAAATTGCCTGCATTTAATTCTCAACCTGGGAAGTTCGGAAGGATGTTGTGATAACTTTACTTCCACAAAATTCAAGTTGATGTTTTTCATTTCACAGCAAGAAAGTGCGATATTCCCAAAGAAGTGCTAAAAAAAACCTCAAATGTTGTGAGAAGATGAGTCCGGCATACCCTGGACAACGAGCAAAGATTCCTATATGTACGCTAAACGTCGCCGGTTCATTATGTGCGGTGCGGGCCATCCGCATTGTACATACATTTACACAGTTACACACAGTAATTACACCAGTTGTTTATAATCCTGTAATTAGTCTTCAAGTATTATAACTGTTTTTATTTTTTGCCAATGGATGTGTATCGTTCAAAATGAACTTAACAAAGTTGTCTCAATTTCTTCAGATGATACATGTAATACCCTTGCACCTCTTTGTGTCTTCTGTTCTTCGACTATGATTTCATGTACTGAACTATATGCAGTTTTGATACACCAATCCTATTCTTCCACACATCAATATGCTCGAGTAGAACTTTCTGGTTTTCGTTTTGCATGTGCATATTCTTATTTTGGACCTTAAATGTACGCACATTTCATACTTCAAATACAGAGGCTAATTCTGAGCAGTTGAAAACTTGTGTTCATTGTTACTGAATATTCCTTTCTCTTCGCTGATACATGTATTTACTTAAGATTGAGAAATCGGCAAGCAAATTGTGAGCAATTAAACTTGGTACAAAATCTCGGCAAGTCATCATAAATTGTCAACATGTTATCGTACATAAAGTACATGTAGACCTATGTGGTCATGTGACCATCCACACACAAAACACGAACCGCGTCCAAAACTATACAGATTGACTTTTGATGTAGAAAGTTTGTGAAAGTGACAAGTACCCATTCATTCGCGTCCGCCGACCAGGCTACCCCACGTTGGTTACCGCATTATAAAAGGCCCTATAGACTATTTTGGAATCACAAAGGGTGAAAAAAAGATCGCAGAATGTTTACCGATCTCATAATAAGCGCCAGTGGCAGCAATTGCTTGCCAAATCCGAGAACTGCTATTGTGCTGATCTTGTGCCTAGTCATCCGTTACTTGTCACTACGGAGGTTGATCACACGTACGTACGTACGTACATACGTACGTCCATAACCGCTCAAATCGATCTCATCATGCAGAGCTCCCGAATCCGATAACAAACGGATATCAAGAAATGAACGTTATTCTTGTCAGTTGTTCGATAAACGTCGTTTATAATATTGATCCCGTGGTCAGATAAGAGCCGAGTGACATAAACATTTTTTTTTTCTTCAACTTCTTTCGTTTATAGGTGCTTCGCTAGTGAAGTCCGTGCTGTGCTGTGCTGTGCACACTGAACACTCTGGGACACTGCGCACCTGTATGGACTGTCTGCCAAATGCATGAGCAGGTGCAACAGGACTTCGACGGCTAAATACGGAAACATTTCTCTGGATCTGTGAACGAGCATCAGGAAGGAAGGAAGTCAGGAGGAGGCCATTTTGAAGTGATTGTACCGATGAGAAGAATTTGGTGATGAATAATGACGGATGACCCCGTTATCAGTTAACGACTGCCACAAGTTCCTTCACTAATCGCTAACTCGTTTTCGACATTACAACATTGCGTTTGTTTTTTACCGGATTACGGTTGAACGGTTAAACAGCAATTATGATAACCAAATCACAACGCAATTATTTAACCTGTGGACCCTATAATATGTTACAGTGGTTCAACTTCAAAACTACTTGTTGCGCACACACAATTCGGCTCTCTATCTGCTGTAGCAACAGGATTTTGTGTTGAAGTTCCTTGTTTGCATAGCTCTCCAAATACTCCACACGCATTGTGCTCGCCTGAATTCGTCATCGCGGACAGAGGTGTTTTCCCGGATATTTAATTTGGTTTTGCACCGAAGGACAGCCACTGTCTGGACACAAAGGTTGAACTGTGTTAAACGATTTTGCCTGAAAAAAAACCCGGACCTTTTGTGACAAAGCTTTGAAAAGTTTTATGATCATTTTCAGATCGGTAGGTGGTTCTGGGAAGTACTGTATACATGTACCGGCAGTTTGGGACATCTTTGTGTGCAGTATAGTCGGCTAGAACCAGTGTACATGTACTTGTCTGGCTGATAACGCGAGCTGCTATTTCTGTTGGGATCTAAAACTTTGTACTGACAGGATAAACCACCCAAGTCGTAGACAGTAGAGTGGAATCCAATGTAACGAACGGTGCACAACTTGTGGCTACTGCTGGAATTGGGATTTTCTTTATTAAACAAAAAAATGAGTCAAAGGCAATCTCGTACTATGGAAAAGTCGTTTACCAAAGAGGACAGGGCCTTGCAGAAGAACGTCTTCGCCCGTCGGCATCTGGATGCCGATTTGGAGGCCCAGCAGGGTCTTGAGAAGATCCATCTTCAGACTATCCGTAATGAGAAGATGCGACTGCAGAAGGAGCTGGAGAGGATGCGAGGGAGGGGACAGAGGATGATGGGCAGACGACCCGTGGTAGGCATGAGCAACAACACGGCCAGGCTGACCCAGCTACGACTGAATCGGGATCCAGTCATCAACGGGGCCACCAGTCGGGCCGTCCGCGCCACCTCCCCCGTGCCCGGTGCCACGGGCGACCCTAACACGGCCCGCGTGCCCCTGGAGGCCGTGGGTCGCGGCCGGCAATCCATCGAGCTGCCGGCCATCAACCCGGGCAACCGCAGCTCCCGCAACGGCTACCGCAACAACCGCTACGAGATGGGGGAGGATTATATCCGGGAGCAGCAGTTGCTGGAACACAAGAAGATCATGTCCAAGAAACAAGAGGAACTCCTCGCAAGAGTGGAGAAATTTGGAGAGGACCTCGGCGCGCAGAAACAACACCGGGCTGGGAGCGGCGGGGAGCCCTCCAACCGCTCACCCACCGAACGCAGCGTCAAGAGCGACGACGCCATGACATCCATCTCGGATCCTAGCTCCAGTTTCCCCCCTCCAGGAAGGACAAGTTTCGGTGATGCTGCTAAAAGAGGAAGGAGCAACTCCCTCTCTGAGTACGACTTGACCAACATCAAGCAGTCTATCACCAAGAGACTAGTGGGGGAGGAGAAAGTGGGGCAGGGCCAGAGCAGTGACGCCGGCACCGCGCAGGAGAAACAGCAACTTGGACGGACTGTCTCAACCACCTCCAGCCTGGGAAGCCTCAAGACACGCAGGAAGAACCAATCGACGGGGAGTGAACCCTTACCCCGCCCCATGGACATGGTGTTTGACCAGAACACTTACGCTCCTGATGGTAGCTTACGGACAATTCACATGCTGCCAGACCCCACCGACAGCTTTGAGGAGGCCAAGAAGGCCCGGTATCTGCGCTGGAGGGGCCCGCAGGAGGATGATGTTGAACTTTCAGTGGATGAGATATTCGGCAAGAGTGACGGTATGGTCAGTAGAAAAGAAAGTTCGGTGGCCACGCCCTCAAATCAGGGTGGCTCTTTGACCTAGATCAAACCTGAAAAAAACACACCTGCATCTGAAGCTCATTTAAGGGCAGTTTTTACCTACTGAATGTTTCTTTCTGTGTTTTCATTAATTTAGTCGTTTGTTCGAATCTTTCACAAGTCCATCACAAATTTAAGTGTGGTCAACGTAATCACAAGTTCTTTCACAAGTCCAGTCATAGGTTTAACTTGGGTGAAAAATAACAAAGGAATGCTTTTGTCACAGTTTATTTCAATATTTTGGGACTTGACTGGCCACTGGAGGCCTTGTGATGGACTCAACTACAGGACTGTTTTCGTTTATTCAAACAGGCCTACGAAAGTGTGGGCTCTATTTAAAGCGAAAATTAACAAGAATAGTTTGTGATTGAATTTTTCTAATTAATACAAGATTTCACGACTCAGTTGATGAATCTTTGGTGTTCTATACAATGGCCAACGCGGTCCATGCGGGTTCATCAAACAATTTCTGTTTAAATTTGTAGACATCGGACAAAATTAACTTCGGCAGGTAATGTACTAAATCACTTTTGGAATGTCAGTGAAAACCGTCTTTTATATATTGAGAGTAACTTTGTGTTGGTGGTGGATGATAAAACAGCATTAATGCCTGAAAATAATACAAAGTGGATATCAGAAGAGCACAGCAGTATATTGCCGAAAAACATCAGTATTTGAAATAATGTATTTCACCTGCTTTCCTTAAAAAATGTTTGCATAAGTTTAGATCGATTGTTTCAGGGTCCAGACCAGAAAATAGACTTCCATAGACCTTGGTAATTACGCGCACATCCCAAAATTATTTTAAAATAGTCACAACTCTCTGAGGCGTTCAAGAAACGCATCAAATTAAAGCTTATTTCATCATCTTTCATTTTCTGTTCAATTTTTGGGGGTAATTTAATGACTTTTGGGAGAAATTTCCATCCGAAGATGATCACCCCTAAAAATGGTCCTGAAGCCCATCGCCATTTTGAAAAACGATGCACGCGCTCCATTGCAAAATTATAGAGCGCTTTTAGGGCCCAATTTCATCCAAATTTCACAGTGCTGTGCAAGGCTTCCACTTTTTTTTTTTTTTTTTAACCCTGAAGTTCATGGTCCACAAAATGCTCTTATACCGAAGAATTTGATGGCATGCAAATCGTGATTTGGCGGGCGTAGGCAAGTTTGGGCCTATTTGCTGGTCTGGACCCTTCAGAGACAGTCTTTTGTTAAGGCGATGGACTCCAATTATTTTTTAAGCAAATATAACAAAATATGATAAACAATTTCAAAGACTCGTTGGAATAAAGGAATTTGTATTTAATTACTTAAATTGCATGAGAGGAAACAATTCAAGCCAATTTTATTTGGAAGTGTGTGTTCTGTTCGTAGCAAGCTATGGGTAAAACGATACGTCAAAAAGGTACTCATCATGATTTACAACAATTGGTATAGTTGTAATGTTGAAACCCGTCTACTATCATGACGCACAGCATTAGGGTAAACTGTGCATCCTGTTTGGAACATTTCAAGCTGAAATCTCTTGCACAATTTACTGAATTATGTACTTAATCTTTGAACGGGTCATGTTGTAGGTGACAAACTATACCTAATGTGTACCTTCAAGTGGTTCACTAATTTGTTTGTTCTTTGGTGAACATTACCCTATTCCGCTGTATTTAACAGTTGATAATGACGGATTTTGGCATATTACTTTTTACGCAGCCCGTTATAGTTTGAGGTATCATCCCTCTTTTTCAACAGTGAAGCTCATTTTATGATCAGCATTTGCCGTGATACTCGGTAAACAGGGCGAATGGTGCACTTTACACCACTGATTGGTTGTGTTATCACATTGAAACTAGATTTTGCTTTTATCGAAGCAATGGCAACGTTATGGGTATAAAGTAAGGGTCCAAAGTGTGATAATTTTTCATGTCCCCGTTGCCTCTGGAACTTTTTTAATTTGCCGCTTAAGCATCATTATAAATGAGTGCAAACTATTCTCATTCGTTGACTAGGTAGTTAGCTTCACATGATCACTCTTAGGGGGGAAATGCGTTAATTTAACGAGTGCATCCAGAATTTACAAAATCGCACATGTCAGATGTAACAAGGAAAGGAAAAAAAGTGGACCCAAAATTTATAGAAAGACCCATCATGCATGGACCGTGCTATGGAAAGGGGATCGCATGTTGAAACATTCGCGAATGGGAACAAACTAGATCGTTTATTTGATTGAAATCGATGTTGCCGGCAAGTTCAAAGCAGAATATGAAATAGTTTTTTTGATGGATTACATGACAGGTTGAACATTTGATCCTAACTTGGCTTGACGTTTAGCAGCAAAGAAAGGGTGCGGTTGTTTCGGTACAGATCCGTATCCTGTTGTACCGTGCTAATAAAAGGAACCTCACATTATAAGTTCAACACTGACTTTTTAAAAAATCGATTTTGACAGGCTTTCTCTTCTTGAAAGGAGCACTGAGATCCGTGATCCATATCAGTGTCTGAGCGAAACAAACAAACGAATCCAGAAACGGATCAACATGTTCGGCATCTGTACCCCTTATAAGAAAGGAACTTTGATGCCTCTCTTAAATCTGGTTTAATAGTCGCGGCAATACTAAAATAGCAACATGTCTTTTTTTATTGCCAGTTACAAAAAGTACTTTGACTTCGTATCGCGTGTTGTAATAAGGACCGCAGGTCCGGCACCGAGATAATATGATCCGGCTTGGTCACAGAATCAGCCTTAAATGATGCAGTTATTATCGTTGCAATTTTCACTTTGTGAGATTAAAAGCATGTACATTGTATATTTAAAAGGCATTGTTACTGTAAATGTTTGATTTGCCAAGTAATATTGTATCGATGGATTGCATTAAAAATTAATACGTGGATTTTATCGTCATTGTCATGGTGGTTTGGGATGTAATTTTGCCACGTTTCCTTGCTGATTGTTTTATGGGAACCAAGGGACCATGGCAACCAAGGCTGCTACGGCGGCGCTGTTGGCAATGGCGGCTATAATGGCGGTTTTTTTTTTACAAAGTGGTTCCTTCCTTGCCTTCTACGCATCAGGTTGTCAGTCCCTATACCAGATTTCGTGCTTTTAGGTTTCCCTTGAAATGTCATTCCACCTTTTTTCCACCTAGCTTTAAAACATAACACTTCTTCATCTTATTTTTACCATTAAGGCGTCTTCGTGTTTTCTGAGCTAGATCATGTAACATTTGTTTACCAATTGGATGTTGTGGTAATGTGATGTCAACGCTCTTCTGCACTACGTGTACATGTATATCTCTTGAAATGCGATTGGTATAAACGTGGCGACTTGAGCAAAATACGATGCATAAGATGCTTAAAAGATTGCCGGTCGGTTGGCCGTTGGCGTACGTCACAGCACAGGTAGCATGGTCTGTACAGTGCTTGCATACATATGCATGAGGAAATCTGTTTCCAATACAGAATACAAATCCGTACAGCAATCTTTTCTTTAGCTAATTCATTAAGAATGAATGTACAAGAGATCTACTCATGGGCCTTATTCATGAGTCGGCCATATTGAATTGAAAGTTAGGTAAAATCTTAATTTTTGGAACTTTGGAAGAGAAATGAAAGCAATTTAACTTATAATCAATTCCAGTCTGCCTCAATAAATAATGTTAAATGTGTACATAATCATTCCCTAATGTTTAGAGCCATATTCAAAAAGAAAATGACAGTAAAATAAGGCTGCATTGTGGCTGCATAAAATGTCTGGCGCCATCCAATTCAACAGTTAACAATTGATGAAATACATTCAGGGAACTCGACAAAAATGACAACTCGAGAATAAAAATAAGGCCCAGAATGCTATGCCTCTGTTCATCACAAGCACACACATCAAAGATGGTGGCACTACAAGCGATCTATAGAAGGTGATGGTAATGGTTTTAGTGGTGCCAGTAAAAACGGATGGCGATAAATGGTGCTCGCGATGATGTAGTTTGCTCCTGCCAGACTTGTACATGTAATTGGCGCCACCGTTGCCGCCATCACCGAGTTTTTTCCGTCTAAAGCAGTATAACACTGCACTGACAAAGAAGGTAAAATATCCTTGAAAGCTAAGCTCGACCATCATCCACAGTCGTGAGTAATTAGCTTGGAGTGTCTCGCCTGATGAACCAAGAGGTGGTTCGGCCTTCAGTTTCCAGAGCTTTTAAAATGGGCATTTCTTTCGATTTGATTCAAGGGGAAAAAGAAAGGAATACAAAGGAAAAGAAATGCAACCGTAACGGCAGAAGTCAGTTTAATACGGATATGCACACAACTTAGACCCGCACGCACTGCACCAGGCATGCCTTTAAAACTAAATTTGTACTTTTTTTTCAAGTAGCCTAATGGTTTACAAATTACAATGCACTTCCGTCAACGATAGCAATTTGACTATCGGGCTCGAAGGAAGACAAAACAACGCCGCCAAACCCGGACGTTATTTGTTTTTTTCCGCTTCATCCAAGAAAGGCTTCGTAAAATCTTAACTCCTTAATGTGAGAACAAAGCGGACGTGTGGTTTGCCGAATTTGGGGGATAATGTGGGCCGTTGGAATACTCGGACGTGACGATAACTCCGGGAACCAGAGATGAGGGGGAGGTGCAGCCAGCTGTTACAATTCGAAAGGGGGGGGGGGAGACTAGAACTCCTCGGCACAGGCCTTTTTCACACTACAGCCTCTCAATAGTGGGGTTTAACTCGCCACTGGGCGAACTATAGTGTCCCAGTGCAGCTCCGGGTTGAGTTTTTGATTTTTCAACCCAACGTTTAACCCCGCATCGTTTCACACTTGCTTCGCACAACCGAGCTTATTTCGCTCGGTTATGCTACTATTTTTGTTTGGAATTGGACCCTGGCGAGACTTTTAACCCTGGGGTTGAAAATCTCAATCCTGGTCTGCAGCACGGTTGAGGTCAACCCGGGACAAAATCAATCGCAGGGTTGGCGCAGGGTTGAAAAGTTCCAAGTGTGAAACGCCGTATGTTTTC